TTTGAGCTGGCGCCGAGGAGGGGACACCTCGGGGACTCGGAGGCCACTGCCCTGCGAGGGTGCTGAAAAGGGGAGGAAAAACCAAAACCTTCTGAAAGGGCGCAGGGGTGTGCTTAGCGTGCTATTGAACGGTGCCTACACGTCGTGTAAGATTTCAGTCAACTTTTGTCACCGCGGTACCCCCCACTACCGTATTAAATAACCAGGAAACTGTCTGCAGCCCGGCTTTCTCCTCCTCAGAACAAACGCGCTCGGGATCTGGACGGTTTCCTTTGGTGAAAATTATTACTGCCGTATTTATTTTTAGTTGCTGATTTTGCCAGTCTGTTGTGAGAATATCATTGGAAAAGAGATGGACTTTGCCCTTCGATGGGATTTGAATTCACTGTAATATCATGGGAGTAAGCGAGGGCCAGCGCTGGCACCCAGGGGGGCGGCTGGGGTGCTTCGAAGGCTCCAGCAACGTAAAAAGAAGAAACTCAATTGCCTGGATCCAGTTGAGTAAGGACGATGAGCGCCCGGTCCTTGATCTGGACCTGATATTCCTGGCTGGAGAGTGAAGAACAGATAATTACAGATTTCTACAGGTAGTGGCTCAGGAGACAGGTGTTACATTTGGAGCTGATGAAATAGCTCCAGTGTCTGTGCTTCCAGAGTAGTTTCCAGATAGAAGAGACAGTACTAATGAAGCCTAAGGGTCACGAGAGCAGCCACGTTAACGGAAGAAAGACTTTTGGGTGCCTGTCGCCACTTAATCTACTAGTCAAAGTAGAAGTACAGTAAAATCTCCATGTTCATTATCATCTTGACAATCCCAAGCAGAAAAGTTTGATGCGAAGCTGTGATAGGGAGCCAATTACGGGAAATGTCTTCCTTTGCAATTCAGCCTTTCCCCGGCTCACAGCAGCCGTGATACATCTGTCACCTTGTTTCTGTAAAGGACCGTACTCGCAGGCCCCACCAGAAAGACAAGAATCACCTACTCCTTTCCTCCCGCCCCCATTCACAACCGAGCGCGTAGAGTAGCGTGTATCAAGCTATACGGTCTTAGGTTTAGTGTGTCACAAAGAGCTCAGTAATTAAAGCTTTCCTCTGGACGTGTTTGTGTTGTTTCTCAGTAACAGTAATGTAAACTATATGCTCAGTTTCCTCATATGTTGGAAAACATAAAAGCTGAACGGATACACTGTTTCATTTTTTCTGTTTACTTTTAAGAGGCCGGCAACTATGTGTATTCCCAATGCCCCAGGTAAGATTTAAGTAAACACAGTCTCCATGGTGAGTTTAACGACCTAGCATCTCTGTGAGATCGCACATGCATATTACGAAGCCTGAATAAATACAGACAATATTAACACAGCATACAAAATAATATAAATAAACCTTATATCTGGCTAATTACATATACAATCGACTGCATACATAGCTAGGCCCTGATATCTAATTTGAGCCATCTGCACTTTGCCATGCGCTGAAGCAAGCTAAGGATTTGTTTCACAAATCATTTTTTTTCTGAGAAGGCTGCCTGCATGAATAAAGATTTACAAGCTTGCTTAGCATCAGACAGCTCCAGCCTCACGCTGCTTCAGAAAATACACATCCCTTGCACTGTTTTATTTTTGTGTTTTATTTTTTTGATTATACTTTGGGAAAGCATGTTTATGTCAAACTTTTAACACTAAGCAGTTATTAACTTACTTGAAAGACCCCGGAACAATATTCTTAAAATCCAGTAACTCAGGTACATTGAGCGACAATTACAATGCTTCCTGCAAAATTCATCTGAAAAATTGGCTCAGCGGTCTCAAAACCTCTAAGTAATAGACAGCAAAGAGCATTCCAACTCTAAGTACCATTTTCCACTTGAAAGGTTTTTAAATATTTGTTTGCTTGATTTTTTTTTTCCCCCCTGTTCTCTTGCTGTGGGTTCGGAAGGATTTGGTTCTTTAAGAGTTGACGAGCAAATGCCATTCCTTCGGTTTCTGACAGGAGGGTCAGGAGGCGAAGGTAGAGCACATGCAGTATTTCTCCTGCAGGAAGGCCGTAAGAAGCACTCTAGACGCATTTCCCTACTCTGTTAGGAAGGCTACAGCAGAGTAATGAACCGTGCCCTGTAGTTATTAAGCTTTAGGTGTTCTTCCCACCTGTGGGATTTTTTTTCTGAAGGTCGCAGAGGGCCTACAGGGTGCGCAGCCTCAGGGCTGGTGAAGGAGCTCTATCTACTCCCCAGAAGTAACTTCTGCTGGTGGAAGTCCCTCTGCTCAGCCCTCTGCGCCCAGACTGCTGGCAGCTTTGTGTCGGGGCTGCTCCCGGCGTACGCTGCTCACCCGTGGCAGCGTCTACGCGTCGGTGGTTTGATTTTTCATTAGTGTTGCCTCGGCCCGACCGATTACTTGGCAGACAGCTGCATCATGAGGGTGTCCTGTACAGCTGTAAGGAAAAGACCCCCGCAAGAGGTCATAAAAGCACGGCCGATTTGCATCGGCTTCTATTTGCGGTCTTACTTCAGGGAAGAAAAATACATCGGACTTGGCAAAGGGATAGCGGCAGCACCAGCAGGCAGCCATCGGCAGGCAGCGGTCGCCCAAGGCACGGCTCGGCTCCCGCAAACCCCTCTCAGGCTGCGCCC